GACACGTAAAACCTTTTCAATGGGTCACTTCACACGAACAAAGACTGAAACATAACGTACCGTGTAGTATGACAGTAGGCCGGCATTGTAGTCCAAAACAAACCAGCGGTACTGCCAACCTTTCATGACGTTAGTCCACTTGCTCAGCGGCCCCTCCATGATGGACGCCATCTTTACAACAGGCGTCGGTTGGAGGAGGAGCCACAGATAGTCCGGGATGACGTCACGGGCAGGACTCTATCGAAAGACGGTGAAGATGACCCTTTAATAAAGCCAGAGGGACAGGTAACGAGTTGAATCATTTACTGCAAAAGCCTAAATTACAGCTTGGTATAAAAGTACAAAACACCTGAGTCAACATCCACACTTCTGATCAAAATGTTTTGTTTTTATTTAAAATTCCCTTAGGAAAAATAGTTTTGTTCCACACTCACAAGCATTACAGTATGTACACAAACATTACAATCATTACAACTCAAAATCTCACAAAAAACCCCGACATAACAAGATGAGCTAAATGGATGAATTGCAGTGGTGTAGCCTTTATTTGTGTAGTGGGTGTACTGTGCTTAGAAATCAAAGTACTTTGTACATCGGTTAGTACCGGTACAATGCAACAGTCAATTTATTTTGATTTCTAAGTATATTGAACCTGTGATAATGTGTGTGTGTGTATATATATATATATATATATATATATATATATATATATATATATGGATAGATACATAGACATAGATATTACATTATACACACATACAGACCCTTTCCAAATAAATTAGAATATCATGGAAAAGTTGTTTAACTTCCATAATTCCATTCAACAAGTTTATCTTTAATAGATGATAGATTCAGGACCCACAATTTAAATGATTTCAAGTATTTATTTGATTATTTTTACATAATTTTGGCTTCCAGCTCATGAAACCCACATAAAGAAGATAAAAAATAATAATAATACTGTGAAGACATCAGCCCACTACTGTTTTTACAGAAAAAAAAAAAAAAAGAAGAAATAAATTAGGATCACAACTAATCAATCAAAATATGGTACTTTCAAAACTATATGTCAATCTTCAATACTTGGTTGTGAATCCCTTTGCCTTAATCGCTGCCTCGATGTGACGTGGCATTGAGTCAATCAGCCTGTGGCATTGACTGGGAGTTGTGGAAGCCCAGATTTTCTTGATGCTTGCTGTCAGCTCTTCTTTGTTGTTGGGTCCGGTGGCTCTCTTTTTCCTCTTGAGAATACTCCGTAGATTCTCAACGGGGTTTAGGTCCGGCGAGTTGGCTGGCCAGTCAAGTACTGTGGCATGGGCATCAAACCAGGTTTTGGTGCTTCTGGCGGCATGGGCAGGGGCCAGGTCCTGATGAAGTCCTCTAAAACATGCTCGTAGACTGGTTGATCCACTCTGAGACGGTGCTATTTAAGAGACTGAGCTGAATACAGCTCCTCAGCCTGAGGAAGTCTCTCGGATGAGAGACGAAACGTTTCTACATTTTTTTGTTGATTTGCTTTGTTTTGTTTTTTTGAATGTCCAGAGGACCAGATTTAACTTTTTTAGAATGCTCGTAGACTGTTGCGGTGACCTTGGATTTAAGAAAATAGAGTTTACAAACACCTGCACGGGACATTGCACACCATATCATAACTGACTGTGGATATTTCACACTGGCCCTCAAGCAGTATGGGCTCTGTTCCGCACCCTTCTTCCTCCAAAACCTTGGATTTTGATTTCTGAATGAAAGGCACATTTTACTTTCATCGGAGAAGAGGACCTTGGACCAATGGCAAACGGTCCAGTCCTTCTTCTCCTTGACCCAGTTGAGACGCTTCCTATGTTGGCTCAGGTTCAGAAGAGGCTTGACCCGAGGAACCCAACAGTTGTAGCTCATCTCCCAGATGTGTCTGAATCTTCTTTGTTTGATAATCCGCTGAAACCCACGGTCATCTCTTTTGCTGGTGCATCTTCTCCTGCCACATTTTGTCCTTCCACTAGACTTTGGGCTGATGTCTTCACAGTATTCAAATTTTTTGAATTCCTGTTTTCATGGGTTTCATGAACTGGAAGCTCAAATTATGTAAAAATCAACAAATAAATACTTGAAATTGTTTAAATTGTGGGCCCTGAATCTATCATCTATTAAAGATGAACTTTTTGAATGGAATTATGGAAGTTAAACAACTTTTCCATGAGTTTCTAATTTTTTTGTAAGGTTCTGTATATACAGGTATATATATTTACACACACACATAAATATACACACATAACTGTATATGTGTACATGTGTACATATACTGTATGTGTGTATACATATACATATATATACACACACACACGTGTATATATACACACGTGTGTGTACATATATATTATATAATATTGGGATTTAAAACTAGATCATTCCTCTGAAAATTGACCAAATTGATTAGTTTATACTGAAAAATATGACCTGTAATGTCATTTTACTTCATTCTGTGGTTGCAAAACATAAGAGCTGAATCACTAAAAAATCAAACACATTAAAATCCTGATATTTTAAAATCCTGGTATTTTAATGTCCAGTCAGGTCAGTCACTTATCATTCTGAACAAGTAAACCGTACATCTTTATTCAAAGGACATCTTTGCTGAAAAACAGAAAAAGTTTGCTGCAGTCTTAATGAAACTCATGGTTTTTTAGGTCAAAATGTGATTAATCAACACGTGCACGACTGTATTCATCAATGTCTTTATTACTTACAATAAGCTTAACACTGATAAGCAGAACTTCACAGTAACATGTGAGCTTTAAATAAAAAAATGTAGAAATAAAAAAAGTTTAACATTTGACATTTTTATCCCTGTTTAGATTCACATAGTCCACTACGATGTGTTTGTGTTTACATTGCACTCATCCAACTGAAGCCGTGGCCTTTGGTATAATGATGTATACACGTTCTCCAGAACCTAAGACGGAGAGACACGAGAAAACAAAGGAAACACACTGATGGATAAAATAAAACAAATATGGTGATGATGAGTCAGAAGGTCTTGCGGTCAGTTTAAACAAAAAGCAGCTAGAGATTAGACAGAAGACGACTGCTGATTGAACGTGGACAGTTTTTGATTTATTATATGGCTTTTTGAGGATATCTGTTTCATTATGATTTAAAAAAAAAGAATAGGTAAAAAATTAAGTCATTGATCAATATAAAATAAAAAAAAACTTGGGTTAAAATTAAACCGTTTGGGTTTAGTACGGCTGTGCTAATAGTGTTATCAGCCATACAAAAATCAAATATTTTAATAAACAAAGTGCACTCACTGGTTTCAAGTTTGCATCTTTCACTTAACCTCCAAATAAAATGTTGCAGCGATGATCTGTTCACAAACTCACGCTGAAATGAATGCTTTAAAAATACTTTACCATTATGTACGGAACATAAATACTTTAGGAAAAGGCACCAAAAATTATGATAAAACATGGAGAAGCTTTAAATCCACAGTGATATATATTAAAGACAAATTTATCAACATAAAAAAAAAAAAAAGAAATTACAAATCTGACATCTTTTTTCCCCATTCCAACCAGTTATTTAAGTGCTCTGGACCTGCTGTGATTAGATTTTGAAGCATTTCTTCTATGTGTCATTGAACAGATGTGTCTGAGGCCTTCCAGTGTACATCAAGAGAAGAAGCAAACAATTGTAGAAAACCTTAGTGTGTGTGTGTGTGTGCTGTACACAACTTTGTGCGCTCAAAAAACAGAGCAGAAAGTTTCGAACTGATGTGATCAAAATTGAAAAATAGGGCCAGTAACTTTAAAATAAAAATAAATAGAAAATATGGCATCTTAAAAAAATATTAAAGACACGCAATGTTGAGCATTTCACCAACACAAAGTTGGTCAAACGTGTAAGGATCATTACATTCAAAGTGCATTTTCAGCTCTGGGCTGATGAACCTCAGTGTTGAAATGCATCCCTTTGCACAAAAACTCGGAACACATACATTTTATCCATGAATATGAAATAAATCAAATATTTCCATATTTTTTTCTCTCTCTCTCTCAAAATATGTCTGTGCTTTAAACAAAAATAATTTAGAATTCAAGTTCATACATTCTAAAAAGCATTTTCTCTTAAAATGAAACAAATCCACGAGTGTGCTGATGACACTGCAGTTAGATGGTCCTGTGAGATTAGTGGGAATCTTTGCTCGCAGCGTTAAATCTGAGGCACCGGGGCCATGACAAGGCTACAGGGAATCAATCCAACACTGTTCAAACTGTGAAGGACACTTAAACTGCTGATCTGCTCACATTCACAAGCCTCGCTCCTTTATCATTCACTAATCCAACGACTGAAATAATCAATTTAGTGGGGATGAAGCGTGGATATTTTCACCATACGAACATTAGTCAGTTCGGTTAAAAGACAAGCAGTGACACAGAAGTCGCCTGCACTGTCATTTGTTTCAGGAATAAATAAATACCTTCCTAGATCGTTAGTTTGTTGGGTACAACTGTGTGAGCTTAAGGATAAAATCTTTAAGTGGATGTTTGGAAACGTCACAGTCAGTTTGACTTAAACAATTAGGAGATTCGCAATTTGATTGTAAAATGAAAATAATTAAGAACAAAAATCTGTAAACTTAAAATATTTTGATTTGAGACCCTGATCATAATGAATCCCAAGCTGAGTCCAATCATTTACTTTACAATGGCTTTTAAAAAATGGCGTTACTCAGATTTCCCCAGAAAAGGAGCACAGTGCTCCACTGAGAAACACAATCCATCCAGCTGATGAGACACTTTTTTTCCCCTGTTTGTTCCAGCCACCACCATTTTTTCCTCAGCATGGGACAGACAAATAAACAAAGTGAGTGTAACCTGCTTCCTCGGTTAAATACACAGACATTCAGTTAAAGATTTCATGGCCAAATGAAAACCTGTAGTAAAACATTGCATGTTGTGACGTGAACCACATTTAGCTTGGTGTAACATTTCTCACTATGTACAGTTCAGAGCAAAGTTAGTGTCCACACTGGCATTGTATGAAAAGTTTTTGTAAACAAAAATATTACATTTTGTAGTGATTTCTGAGGTACTTTTCGAGATTTATCTCCCTTTGTCCCCCATAGAATTGTTGACAGAACCAGAAACATAAACTGGAAGTGATTTGCTGGGTAGAGGTGACGGTGTCATCAGTGACTACCTCTGTACCACATCACTAATCTCTTTAATACAGTTGTGTAGGTTTTCCAGCACAGTGTTGGATCCGACTCCACCCAGCCCTCCACCTCCAGAAGACGAGGCCCTCACTTCCTGCAGGCTTAGCTCCAACTTGCCCACCGCCTCTCGAAAGGCAAATTTGTTCCTCGTCTGAGGAATGCAGTCCACGTAACCTGAGCAGTAGTCTAGCAGCTGGTGGCCAGCGTCCAGCACCTGGCTGCTCGAGGGGCTTTCAGAGGTGGCGTAAAGCACGCTGGTCAGGCTCTCAGCGCACTCGAGCAAGGCCTCGCGGCTAACCCGCTCGAGGGACACCCTCTCCATCTGCTGCCGGGTTCGCCGCAGTGCCACTTTGGAACCAGCAGATGGTGCTGTGTGTGTGGAAGCAGTGAGGGTGGCTCCATTGGACATTTTGGTGGGAGTTGTGTTGGTGCTGGCAGGGGAGGAGGAGGAAAACAAGGAGGAAGATGCAGGAGGCACTTGTGGTGGTGGCACTGATGGTCTACCTGTTGTTGCTCCTCCTGACATTCGCCCCGACCTGTGACCTTTTAATGCGTCTCCGTTGATTTCTGCAGGCGACGCGCTGACCAGCTCCTCCCCGTCACCGCTGTAGGACTGTTGCAGACCGCGCACGGTGGGAGGAGGTGGAGGGGCACACTTGGGTTTGACGAGCCGTGGCCTGTCCCGCTCTCCCAGCTGCTCGGACAGCAGTTTGAAGCGGTTCCCCTGAGAGTCCAGTCCGACTAAGTGCACATCAGCTGGGCTATGCTTCAGCGTGGGGGAGATCAGGACTGGAACTTTGTGGTTATGAGTTGGTACGCCTGCTGCGGCTGACGACAGACTCGAGTTCTTTGAAGGAGACGACCAGCTCTGTTGCCTGTCCAGCCCTCCACTCTCCTCTCTGACCCGAGACAAGCCGTCTGATTCTCCCACCTCCCCTCCAACCCCCGGGGCCCTCACCCCTACAACAGTACTCCGGGGTAGCAGCTTAGTTTTTGGCCTTTCCCTGATCTGTGCAGTACCCTCATCCATCCTTCTCAGAGATTCTGATGGCCGTGCTGTCCCGTTCTCTGGCTGAGAAGTTGTGGAAGAAGTTCTTTCCAGAGGGGGTTTAGCACTGTGGTTTCTAGGTAAAGTCAGAGCCATGCGCTCCAAGTCCGGTAACCCAGATGACATAGAGGAGGTAGAATTGGACCTGGGAAAAGGTTTTGGTCCTCCAACTACACCACCACCCTCCTCTGAGGAGGCCGTCTTTCCGGTACGTAGCCCCAGAGTTTTTTTGATGAGTCTAGGAGTGAAGAACCCAGCCAGTCCACTCCAACTGCTGCCGCTTGTCATTTGAGAACCAAGAACTCCACTCGAAGGTTTTTGTCCAAAAGCGGCACCACAGCAGCGAGACTGGGCCTGAGTGGGTTCCCCGTGGGAGTGAGAAGGAGAGGGAGAAAACCCCCCTAAACTGTCTGACTGGGGAAGAGGAGGAGGAGCACTGAAATCAGCTGTGGGTTCATATTTCTTGTGAGGCTGTGTCTCCATCTCCCGGAAGGAGATGCTCCTCTTTGGTGGTGTCGGAAGGTTTTGTTGGAGCTGGGAAGATGAAGAAGAGGATGACGACGATTTCTTCCTCATGAAAGAGCTGAAGAAGCCGGTCTTGCGATCTCGCGTAAATGTGCCAATATTTTGTGCATCCTCTAAAAGACTGCTGGGAGATTTGTCCCTCGACTGCTGTTTTCGGGGCAGAGCTGGAGAGCTGCCTGATCGGCCATCACCCCCCAAAAATGTTGAAACCCAGCCTGAAGAGACAGAGAAAACTGATGATTACAAAACTCACATCAGCAGGAGTGCTTCCTATCTTTTTCATTGGAACAGGAAATGGAGTGTTGGCACAAATTATTTGTAACCTAATATACTCACATCAGTACATCACTCAGAAAGTGGAACGTTAATGTAAGAGGATCAACTATTGTAAAAACTGTACAATCCTCCTTTGAGACTCAAAGAAAAATATTCTCAAAGACTGAACAGAAATTTTGAGCCAATGCCAGTAATGTGAATAGATAAACTGAATAATTTATAGGCTGCTTTTATAGGAGATGAGAAGTTAACACAATTTAGGAATCAAGGGATTACACAACCCAAACTATGCCAGACATCTTATCCGAGACATGCAAGAAATTCTGGTTTAAACACTTTTTTTTTTTTTTTTACAGTTACAATACTGTTGACCTGCATACGGAAGATTAGGCCAAGGTGCACTCATTTTTTTCCTTAATTCTGAGATTAAAGCCATAATTCTGAAAAAAAAAAAAAAAAAAAAGTCAGAATTCTAAGATTAAAGTGGGGGAGTGGTGGTGCAGAGGTTAGAGAGGCCTGTGATCGGAAAGTCGCAGGGTCAACCCTTGGTACAGTCAACATCAAAATGTGGGTGGAAAAGGTGAAACGCCCACACCTGTACCCTAATTTGCCCCACCCTGGACCCACGAGGAAGGCCCTTAATCCCCACCATTTGCTCCCAAAAACAGGTCTCTCTTGAAAATGAGTTCTCGTGACTCAATGAGACTACCTGTATAAATAAAGGGTAAAAAAAAAACCCCTCAGAATTCTGAAATTAAAGTTAGAATTTGAGAAAAAGTGTCAGAATTTTAAGATTAAAGTCAGAATCCATCTAACTAATTCTGACTTTTTTTCTTGGAATTTTGACTTTAATCTCAGACTTCTGACTTTTCCCCTTCAGAATAAAGGACAAATTTTTTTTTGCACTGTGGCGCTAATCCTCTTCCATACTTACAGGAACATAAAGCAGGGCACAATTTTACTAAGCAGAAAAAATGTGAAAAAAACTACAAAACCAAATTTATTAGTTATTTTAAGTGAACAAAAATACATCTGTATAGCAGCAGACAAAATCCTGTTACATTGTTTTGTCTTGGTTTATCATAACCATGTGCATTTAAATAAATTCCTTATTTTCCTTTACATATGAGAATCGGTATGTTTGAAGTACAATCTTAATGTCTTCAGTCGGAGATGAAAAATGTTGGCATTCTTGGCCCTTATTTTTCTGCTGTAAATGTTTATTTCATTGTGCCACTTGCATTATAGATATTTAGAAATTCAGGACAAAGCTCTTTATTTGTGAACAATATTCAAAACAGCTGCTAGTTACATAAAATACAAAATAAAATAAAAAAAGAAAAACTACACACACACGACACCGACTTAAATTAAGGAACGTTATCAAAAATAAATAAAGGAAATATTAAAACACAATAACTTGCAGATATTAAATAAACCTTTTTTTACCAATACAATGTACAAATTATTTATAAAACAAGGAAATCAGCAAAACCACACTAACAAAATTTTTTGTTAACTTGGACATGAAAACAACTTTTACATTGCTTTTAGTCAGCTGTAATTTAAGATGCTCATTTGTTCATTCATTATCCATCAGAACAGAATAATGATGGCAAGGATGGAAACACACATAAGCATTTCTGCATTTTATTTTTATTGTTGATATATATATATATTTTTATCTTGTCAAATACATGTTCATGTTTACTTCTTATGGTATGATTTTAATTTTCTGCTACCTTCTAGTAATGATGGATCAAATGGACATTAGTTGGGTTGTTTCATTATTGCTCCAAATACAATTTCCATTTTAGTAATAATTTTATGTGTTGGAATATTATTGGACAGGTTGGCCAATTAGCTGTTCTAACAGGAGCTGCTTTTTAAAAGAAACCCCAGATTCAGGTCGTCACTTGCTGAGGAAGATGACGGCCCTTCTTTTCAGACGGCGAGCCTGGCGGCGCTGTAGTTCGTTCTGCTTGTTGTCGTCTTCTGGCGTACCTGCAGAATCATAAAGCGGTGTACCTGACCGGTCAATAGTGAAGTGCCTGGCAGTACCTGAGTGACTGTGTGCACCGGGGTCGGAGTGCCCGTCCAGTCCACCCTCTATGTTTTCCTTGTTTTCTGTGTGCTTGGGGAGTGGGCGGGATTTGGAAGGCAACAGGGGCGTGTCGTGACTGAAAGAGTGCATTGATCCACAGTGACCAGAAGAGGCTGTTTTACAGAGCTCCTCTGCAACCTCTGCAAAGAAGAAAATAGTTTGTTGACAGGAAGCCAGTATGCAGATCAAATATAATTTACAGTATTTTTATTGACCACTTTATATTTACATCAGATGTTCTCCTCTCATGCATTTTGTATTATTTTAGGTTTCGTTTGACTTCAAACTAATCAATTCTGATGTTAAAGTGTAGTGAAAGTTTGAGACTAGCAACTAACAAAAAGCTACCTTCAGAAATGCTGGAATCATGAAACATTGTTTCAAAGGCTTGGTGTGTATCTGCAAATGAAGGCCGATCTAAAGGGCTCCACTGCCAGCCTAGTAGAAAGACACAAAACATGTATTTTAGTATGAGAAAGAAAGGTGAAAATTCTAGTAATTGTATCAGATTTGGTTGAAAGCACAATTTTGTAAATTTTATGTGAAATAGATGGAACTCACATGCCCTCATGAGTTCATAAACCTTGGGTGGGCATCCCTCTGGCTGCTCCATGCGATAGCCTTTCTCCAGAAGATCGTAGACCTGAGACAAATCAATGCCTGGGTATGGAGACATCCCATAGGTGGCAATTTCCCAGAGCAGAACCCCAAAAGCTATAGGAAAAACAATGACACAGTATGAACACTTTAAATATTAAATAAGACTACATGGATTAGACCGGAATACTTGGGAGATGTTTTACTGACCCCAGACATCTGATTTGATGGAAAAGGTGTTGTACGCAAGGCTCTCTGGTGCAGTCCATTTGATGGGGAACTTGGCTCCAGCGTGAGCAGTATAAGTGTCACCGGTCATCAGCCTACTCAGACCAAAGTCTGCTACTTTAACAACATGGTTTTCTCCAACCAGACAATTCCTCGCAGCAAGATCCCTGAAGAAACAGTGTGGTAAAACAAGGGCAAGAAAATTAAGGGAAAGTATTTATATACACACACACATCTGCACACACACAAACTTACCTATGTATGAAATTCTTCTTCTCCAGGTACTCCATGGCAGAAGAGATCTGCGTGGCCATGTAGAGCAGCGCCACTGCATTCACCTCTGCCTTTTCACAATCTCTCAGATAATCCAGCAGGTTGCCATGAGGCATGTACTCTGTCACAATGTAGAAAGGAGGCTCCAATGTGCACACACCTGTGGGAGTGAAAATGTGGTGAAAACAAATGGAAAATCAACAGAGTACACACACTTCTGTTAATTAATACTGACCAAGAAGCTGAACGAGGTTTGGATGTTTAATCTCTTTCATAACAGCAGCCTCTTTCAGAAACTCTTCAACTTCCATGGTGTCCTCCTGACATCACAAAAATAAAAACAAAAAGGAAAATCATCATCATTCGGATTAATTTAACAAGTATAAAATAGCATTAGAGGAAACATGTAATACCTACTACTACCTGCAGGTTGTGCTATACAAACATTTATGTCTTTTTTTTTTTTTTTTTTACCCAGGAAATCTAAACTTCCACTTTAGCTAAAATATACTCTAAAAAACTCAGTATAGTTGTGAAGAAAAGGAAGTTCCAACCTTGAGCGTTTTGACAGCCACCGTCAGGTTGTATTTCTTCCACACGCCGACATACACCTCCCCATACTGGCCTCCTCCTAGCTTGTGCTTCATTGTGATATCTGTGCGTTCCATCTCCCATTTATCGTGGATGGGCGAAACACCGTACACGGTGGGCTTGTTACATTTGGGAGCAGGGTAGTGCAGCGTGGTGACCAGGCCATCAGGTACGGTGGAGTGGTGGTGGACCAGCTCAGCAAGGGTGGCAAATCGGCTTTCAGATGTCACATAAACCTGAGGAAAAAAAAAAAAAAAACAGGTTATATAGCTGGATAACAAACAGCATAAAAAATGAGCACTTCAGTCAGCCAAAATCTACCTTTCCATCAGTGGCTGTGTTGATCCTGTAGTGGTATACTCTGCCCTCATAGCGCAAAGATATGGACAGCTGTCCGGGGCTGCTTTCACTTTCCCTGACCAGAAAACTACCATTGATGAGGGAGGACAGCAGGTACTCTGCAGCACTGCGGGACACAGGCCCATGGTACCAGCTGTGCTTCTCCAGACTGTTTACTGGTGTGATGTAGTTGGAGGGGACCCAACCCTGACCGTTTTTAGACCGTACTTCACTCCACTCTCCATTCTGGTTGTAGCCCAGCACACGCAACTTCTCACCTGGAAACACAAGGTAGAATAATGGTCTGCAAGCTCCCAGTGCAAAGACACAATCGTAGCTTTGATTAAACAAGCGTCTACTGCCAGAAGCCCTTTGTAAATAAAATAATAATACAAATAAATTTAAAAAATGTAGTGTTTTAATAACCATCACATGTAATATAGACAGTTATTTAGAAAAATAAAATGTTATTCATGAGTCTAAACAGAAAATGTTAGTTTTACATCATTTAATAATTGCTTCAATTTTCTCACCAATAATACATTTTTATCAACGATTGCCCATAACTCTGAAAAACAAGTCCCATAAAAACAGGTGGTGTCATGGAACGTACAACAATGAGAGGTAGTTGAAGAGCATGTTTTCTGTAAAGGGCTAGGCAAGGCCAGGCATGTAGAGACATTCTGTTGTTCATCTCTGATGTAAGTGCGGGTTGCATAAAAAAGTAGAGACGGGTGATGAGCTGAAAGGAGTTATCAGTTTGCCAAAACACTGAATGGAGCAGGAATCAGTCCTGCCAGCTGGATGCAGGATGAGATGAAAACAAAATAAATGAGAGAGAAAAAGAGAGAGATTTGTGATTTGTCACACGGTGCTTAAGTTGAATTTTAAGGGCCTTTGGTTGATGCTAGTTGCAAAATTCCTTAAACTGTGAGAAGTTCATAATGAAGCTGTTGGGAATGACAATGAGCAGTGCATTCCAAAAAACAAAAAAACCCACTCCATAAAAATAAAAAAAAACTGCTATAGCAGCCAGGTTAGACAAACAACTCCAACTGCAAATTTAGCTCTTGAAACAATCAAAAGATAAACAGATGTTTATCCAGATCCAGCTTCCAAACCCACCAATCCACTCTTTGTCTCCAACTTCAGAGGAACTGGAAACACTGACTGTCTTATGTCTTCACACCATGCATGAAAGAGAGATCTGATAAGGTTTAGCTTAGTCTGGCCTGTCATAAAGACGAGACCACGGCAAGCTGCAGACGTGCACCCCACCGCCGTCCTCCTCCTTATCCACCTGTTATTACAGTTGAACTAATTTTGTATGGATTCGGCATCCGAGGCAGCGTGTTTCTTTCCACGTGACGGAGGGAACAGTGGGGCGGACAAGAAATGTGCAGAGACGCCTGAAAGCACATGCGTGCTCACATGTGTGATGAAATCGCAGATTTACTGCATGACTTAGAATTTAAGCATCATTTCCATCTCTGACAGCTGCCATGGAAGTCTTAAAATGTTGATTTTAAAGAATGCCAGAATGCCACATTGACCACTTTACATCAGCTAGAGACACAAGTCTCTGACGAGAACTTCTTTCAACTGCGGCTTAATGTGAGGAAAGAAGTCTGAACAGAGGAAGGAGTGTGTACATGAGGTGACAGAACACTGACAAGGACACGTTTTTCCTGTTGTAGTTAGTTAGCATCCATTTTTGCCTCTAGCTAATAATTAACTATGAAATGTACCTCATATATGATGTAAAATAATTAAGTGGTTTATTGGATTTGTTACCTGCTTACGTAAATAGGAAAATGTTACAGACACATTCCTCTGGATTAACTATGATTCAACTCAATAGCAGCATTTTTATAGATGCCGATGTGCCAATCACCACTTCCACCTGAAATGTGTTACCGATGACTCTTCCTTCTGTTCCATTTCAATTAACGTCTCTTTTGAGGGTGGGGTCGAAAGGCAAATGAAACACAAAGGAGTTCAATTATGTTGCTAAGCAATAATTATACATAATACATGGAAAAAATGCAGTAGAACAAAAAAGACTTAAGTTTCAGGTTATGACATAAAATCATAGTGAGAAAAAAAGCCAGCTAGCAGAAAGAAAAAAAAAAAAACCATACAAAGAACTTGTGACCAAACAAACTAACACCCCCCCCGCCCCCCCATACACACACACACACACCTTTTTTAATATTTTTTTTTACCTTTGGTGATGCTGAGTGTGTTGTCTCCACTAGCGACAAAGTCATAAAGTGCAACAAAGAGGTTGGGGTCGCTCTCAGCTGCCCCCAGCAGGTTCTCCTTCGAGCTCCAGCGCACTGCCTCTGTCAGAGCTTCTGGGAGAAAGGAGAAATAAAGAGTCAGAAAATGACAGGTCAAAAGTGAACAAGAGACCCACACCCCATCACTGGAGCTGGGACTGTAAATGCAAACTAAGTTTACAATAAAGAAATGGGGAAAAATAAATTTATCCAAGCAAATGCTATAAGTACAAAGCAACCTAGCATCAAAGTATCAATATAATCTTGAAAAAAAAAAAATCACCTAACCCCACAATCTACCTGTCTACCTGTCTGTCGAGGCCGAGTCTCCTGCCTGAACCCTGTGCGGAGCTGAAGGCCGCTCCAGGATGCCCACTCATCTTCAAAGCTGCTGCTTGCCTTCAGGCACCTCAAAAGCATCACTTCACCCTATCTGCTCTCTGAATGATCCTGTTATCACCAGCTACACACACAAGACTGCCGTGTCCAGCCTGTGCCAGGTTAATATCTAAAGTGTGAGGGTTTATTTTACGTGTCTGTAACCAACAAAAAAAAGGAGGAGCAACAAGCAAATGGGATGGAAGAAATTTACACAGGGTGTTACAAGACACACACCCACTGAAACACAATGATTAGTTACTACATGCGTAGCCAAGACGTACATTCAGAAGCAGCTGCCAAAGTTGCTGCATGTCTGGACAGCTGCTGAATGACTAGAACAGGATTGTAATGGAATGAGTTAGGGCTGGAGAAGCAGCACTATGGTACAAGCAACTGCAGGCCCACAAAAATGCTTTAATGTAGCATACAAATCAGCAGAAAGACGTCTAACAACTAAGAGAAGATTTGGATTGTTCTCAGCAGAAGATACTAAAATCTATCCACTTTGGAAAAAGAAATGTCCATTTTGTTTTTATACCTACCTATTGCAAAATGAGACAAAATGTTCAGTTCAAAATACACATGTGAAAGTAATTCAAAGCCACAAGCCAACTTCTAAAACACATTTAGTGTTTACAAATGTATCTGGATGTTCTGAAGACTGTACTTTCTTTGTGTGTTTATATAAAAAAATTTTTTTAAAAAGCAGCAGAAAGACCAAACTATGACTAGAACATAAATTACAGTTTTCTTTTGGTTAACTACATCTTATACTATGAATATTATGATGATCAGATCAACGTTTTAAACCCAGCAGATTAGCCACAAGTTCCTCCTGCAGGATCAGCTTCACTGTGTTCAGAACCTTCAAAATGTTGTCACATTATTTTAACCTTTAACACAATTAAGTGATTTTGCAACATTAACTAAATTTTTTACAACTAATTTTGGTTGAAAAGACAAAACAATTGACAAAAGCAAATTAATACATACGTTTATCAAGAGTTGAGAACATAAATTGTCAAATGTCTGTTGGTGTAGTAAATCTTGTGACGTTCTTCATTCTTCATTAGTTTAGTGAAATCTACAGTAAAATAAGTCATGCCATTGCATTCCACCACTGCACCCTGTATTCACTGGTCAACTGGACATCATTAACTTCACACAGACTCTCTCACTGGTACATTTTCATCTTTAAATCACTTCTTGGTCTGCTGTCTTCACCCAGCTCCTCCTACATGTCTGTGTGAGTGCAGCTACAGCGTGCGTTCCCAGGACATTATTACATGCAGTGTTCCCTCAGTGCAAACTGAACTAGGCAAAAAGGCCTTCTCCTACTCCGCTCCTGTTTCCTGGAATATCTTGCAAAAAGATCTGAAGCTCTCGACCTTGACCTCTCTAAGTGGCTTCAAACATATGCTAAGTTCATGGCAAAAACCAATGCAGACATGTTCCTGTTTTTAGTTTTCTACATCGCTTTACAACCTAGCCGCTTGTTTTTTTTTTTAAATACCATTTTCTGTCATTTGTTCTTCTCAATTTGTATGCTTTCTTTTTGTCTACTGTCTGATTGTCTACCGTTGTCATCACTCTCTTAAAATCAGGTCTCTCTCGTAAATGAGTCCCGAGGCTCAATGGGACTAACCTGTATAAATAAAGGTTGAATGAATTGCTCTTTTCTTGAAGAAGATGGTTTATAGTTAAACATATTTAAATGTTTTGTCTCCAAGTGTAAAAGCCACATTTTCCAAGGTATGAACTAGACAATTACCGTATTTTCCGCAATACACGTCGCTCCGCCCTATAAGTCACATCAGTCCAAATATGTCAAATAAAGTTGAAAAATACATAAATATGTAACTTCGCCATATACGTAACGACGCATATATTATGCATCACCGCTGACACGTTGCGTTTGTTACCCGTCACCGCTGACAACCCGGAAATGTGGGCCGGTGTGCCAAAAATCGATCGGCTGCTAAATGGCGCCCCAGGAGCGTGCACAGGACTTTGACAATAATTTAACAAGATTAACACTTAAAAACAATTATTTGTTTGCTCCAAATTATAGTAAATGTGTGTCTCAGTTTAGTTTTAATTTAATAATAAATGTACTTTGACGGTCAAATCAGTTGAATTTCAAAAGCCGATTTGGGCTGCGGGAACGCGCAGAGGGACGAGCCTCTGCATTTCTTCAAAATTTAACAAGATAACCACCTAAAAACAATTATTTGCTTGCTCAACATTATAGCAAAGGTATGTCTCAGTTTAACTTTTCCTTAATAAATGCATTTTAATGGTCAAATCAGCTGCATTTTCAAAAGTATCTGAAGCCTCGGTGCTCCGGGAGCGCACGCTCTGAGGGAGGAAATCAAGAGGAATACTGTGCATTTCTTCATAATTTAACAAGGTAAGCACCTAAACAATTATTTGTTTGCTTGACAGTAAAGCAAACGTGTGTCTCAGTTCAACTTTTACTTAATAAATGCACTTCAATAGTCAAATTAGCTGCATTTCTCCGGGGCGGTGAAGCAAAATGAAGCCGATTTGACGGTTGCTCCAGACAAACTGGACAAAGGTGGCAGACAAGCTGATTGTGTTATTAATAGCCACGTTTACCCATTACATGACACAACGGCATGCCATACTACTCGATTGCTATCTAGCAGCTGAAAATGGTAGTGTTCAATATTATCAGTCAGAATGAATGAAAACGGTCACATCTCAGCCAAAAATTGGTTTATGAATATGTGAAAAAAAATCCATAAATACATTGCTTTGGCGTATAAGTTGCAAGGCATGCAAATTAGGCAAAAACTGTGACTTATAGGCCGAAAAATACGGAAGGTAATATATGATTTTGTATTCCAACAGTGTATTTACGTCTCCTCCATTGTTCCAAATGTGTCACATCATCTACAAAATAAAAAGATTTGCCCACCTTTGTTCTGAAGCAGCATACACTGCAACGCAGCACTGGCTGTGACTTGGCTTAACCACAACTCCCAGTACATCTTCTGCTTTGGTCTAGTTAGTTACTGCTTCCAATATGCAGCAAAATACCACAGCTTTCTTGATCTTAAAGTTTCACAAAACAGACACCAAAAACTTCCTGAAAAAGTAAAAAGGCCAAAGTGAAACATGCCGAGGAAAAATTGAAATAAGTTGATTGAAAGTCAGGCATGACTCTCAGCCTCGAGTTGAAAACTTCCATCTAGCTTTGATGTGGCCTGAGTGTGATCAGACTTCCAAAACACGTGGAGAACAGACATCCAATGGTCTGTGAAGTCTAAAGTACTCAAAGTAATAGCCAAAAAAAAAAAAAAAAAATCAGTAAAGGG